CATGAATTGTTTGACGTAAATTATTAGGAATATCAATATCTTGTAATGTTTGTGGTTGTGAAGATAAATGCTTTTTTCTAACATAACTTATTTGTTTACATAATATATTGTTATTTGGCATATATGAATAAAAATCTTGTGGTATATTGGTAATTGTGTTTTAAATTATTTGTGCTGGGGGGTCTGAACTTCCGGAAGCTACATTTTTCATTGAATTGAGTATTTGAACTATATCAAAATGGCTTGCGATTGGTGCATGATTGTGTTCGACAAATTTCATTAATAAGTGCTCTTTGCCTACTAAGTTTGTTGTCGCTCTTCCATTACATTTTAGTGCATTTTTATACTTGCAATACCAATAATACTTTTCATTCTGATTTTTATCTTTTACTAATAAATATCCACATACATTAAGTTTTGTTTTGCCATGAATAGAATCAACTAATTGGCATACTTCATGATTCATCTTAGTTGTTCTTTCTATATTGTTTACTAGATAAAATCATTGCTTCCTTATAGTTTAAAAAAAAAAAAAAGTAAAAAACTAACTAGCGACTATTTAATTTTATTTTATATTGAAGAACTTTTAGCAGTTAGCTTTAATCAACTTTTTAGATATTAGAAGATTATTTTATTTCAAACTCTTTTTATAATTTTTTTTTTTTATGAAGCTGGCTAACACATCCTATTTTTCTTTAGGTTTTACTTTACGCATTCATACTCACATTAACTACACCATTTTAAAACCTCTTTGTACTTATCTTCTTTGGCCTTATGCACTTTACTCAATCGTGAAGTAAAATGATACAGGTTTTATTAATTTAATATTGATTTTTTTTTTAATAAACCTTCAACACATTAACTAACTTGCCTTCTTTGGTCTTTATGCGCCTTACTCAATCATGAAAAAGATGATATGATTTCACTAATTTGATATAGTTTTTTTTTTAATAAATTTTTAACACATTAACTATACTGTTTTGAAACTTCTTTGTATTTGCCTTCTTTGGTTTTATGCACTTTACTCAATTGTGAGATAAAATAATACAGGTTTCACTAATTTGATATCTATTTTTTTTTAAATAAATCTTTAACATATTAACTATACTATTTTGAAATCTCTTTATACTTGCCTTCTTTGGTCTTTTATGTATCTTACTGAATCGTGGGAAGATGATACGATTTTACTAATTTGATATCAATTTTTTTTAATAATCTTTAACATATTAACTATACTATTCTGAAATCTCTTCATACTTGCCTTCTTTGGTTTTATACATTTTACTCAATTGTGAGATAAAATAATATAGATTTCACTAATTTGATATCAATTTTTTTTAAATAAATTATTAACATATTAACTATTCTATTCTGAAATCTCTTTATACTTGCCTTATATGGTCTTATACACCTTACTTAATCGTGAAGAAGATGATGCGATTTCACTAATTTGATATTAATTTTTTTTTAAATAAATCTTTAAAACATTAACTATGCTGTTCTAAAACCTCATACTTGCCTTTTTAGATGATACAGGTTTCACTAATTTGTGATCTTTTTTTTTTTTTAATAATAAATCTTTAACATGTTAACTATGCAATACTGAAATCTTCTTGTACTTGCCTTCTTTGGTATTATGCATCTTATTCTTATATGTGCTTCACTATTTGGAATCAGTCTTGTATTTCATAATTCCTGACTATTGACTGGTGATTAGATTATTACTTATTACAAAAAATCGTAAGTAGATCTACAAAAATTAACCAATCATACAAATGTCTGCTTATAACATGTGACTAAATACATTTCTAATATGATCTTTATATTGTTTATATAGATATATCAAAAAAGTAACTATAATGTATTAAAAATATAACTTTTATATTACACTTTAGACAAAAATAATAATGATAAAGCTAATAGAATATCTTTATAAGTAGGATTAAAAACAATATTAAAAAACTTTAAATGTTTTTTTATCATATAAAACTGCTATATATAATTACCAATAACAGATAATTTACCTTTACTAAATTTATTAGTATTAAAAAAAGTATGAACTATAGATTTTTAAAAAATATCTCAATTAAAATTAGCAATTAATGAAATAAATAGATCCATAGAAAGGTTTAGTTGACTGGTAAGGATCAATTGTTTAAATAACTTATTTATATAATTTAAAGTATTTTTTTGAGAATGGGATACTTTACTAACAAAAATTTACTACTAGAAGAATACTATCATCCATGATACAAAAGAATTAAAAAAAAAAAAAAAAATTCAAAATTAGAAACTTAAAAGGCAAAATATGCTTACTGTTTATTGATACTATATTGTACTGTAAAATGAGATAACTAAAGCATTTTTGTTTAAAATCTGAGTGTATTAAATTCAAACAAACTTTTATTGCTAACTATTTAATTTAAAGGTAGGGTATAACTATTTTCAATTTTATATAAAATAGATTATAAATTAATATTGTATAACCAATATCATATAGTATTATATGATTTATATACAGAAACCCAGAAAATTTTGAATATCAAATCACAAAAATTTATTTGGATATTAGCCAATATTTGGATAAAATTTGAATAAAAATGTAACCGTGTACTAACACATTCGTTACTATATGTGTATATTAAGCAGGATTTTTGAAAAAGGTGTCTTTTATTACTTATATTGTTCTTTTTTTTTATATCTTTCAAATTCTAATCCCTATTTAACTATGATTACATTTGTTATATATGTGACTAATTAATTTATTTAACTTTAATCCCACTTGATTAATCGCATATTAATTACATCATTAATTACCAGTGCACGATCATGATCATGATTGTGATCATATCACATGAGCATGATAAGTATTATTTGCTTTTCTTCAAATTACTACCCGATTATACACTAATTACCTGATTTGATCGCTATTCTCTGCATATCATTGTTATCGTTGTTATCAAAGCCGTTACGGCTTAATCAATTATCATTATGCAAACCTAACCTATTACACTCTCCCACACTTAAACTAATCTTCTATCTTTTTCACTTCCTATTTCTCTACTTCCCGATTCAAACCTCTCAACCATATCCATCACATTTTTCAAGTTTGATAGTAGTTTTCACGTTGCTTCATGAAGGGGGTATCTTTTCCATTTAACCAAGTATTGTGGCTTCTAATAATAGGTTCATTTGTCCAATACTTCCTCAACTTCGAATTCAGGTTCTGAATTCGAACTTGTAAAAAATTCTGGGAGTGGTGGCATCTCCTTTCTTCCGTCAAATTCATTTGGTAAATAATGTTTCAATAAGGATATGTAAAACACTAGATATACTTTTATATTTGGGGGCAAAGACAACTTATATGCTGTTGCTGATACTTTCTTCTCTACTTTATAAGGTTCAATAAACCTTGAGATGAACTTCTGTGAAACTTTTTTTAAGTCTACTGCTGGTAAGAGGTTTTGTATTGAAAGCATAACCTGGTCTCCTTCCTGAAACTCTAAGTCCTTGTGGCCCTTATTGTAATATTTTGCTTGTTTTTCT